GGGACCTTTGGTTGAGCCCCCTATGGGGCCACGAAACGTGCGAGGGGTGTGCCAGAATGGGGGGTGGAACCGCATGCCAGCGCAGCCACTGGGGCCTTCGGTGGAGCTCCCTATGGAGCAACGAAACGTGTGAGGGGTGTGCCGAAATGGGGGGTGGAACCGCATGCGAGCGCAGCCACTGCGGCGTTCGGTGGAGCTCCCTATGGGGCCACGAGACGTGTGAAGGGCGTGCCGAAAAAGAGGGTGGAACCGCATGCGAGCGCAGCCACTGGGGCCTTCGGTGGGGCTCTCTATGGGGCCACGAACCGTGTGAGGGGTGTGCCGAAATGGGGGAGGGGGGAACCACATGCGAGCGCAGCCACTGGGGCGTTCGGTGGAGCTCCCCATGGAGCCACCCACGAAGCGTGTGAGGGGTGTGCCGAAATGGAGGGTGGAACCGCATGCCAGCGCAGCCACTGGGGCCTTCGGTGGAGCTCCCTATGGGGCCACGAAACGTGTGAGGGGTGTGCCAGAATGGGGGGTGGAACAGCATGCGAGCGCAGCCACTGGGGCCTTCGGTGGAGCTCCCTATGGGGCCACGAAACGTGTGAGGGGGTGATTGCCCAGAATGGGGGGTGGAAACCGCATGCCAGCGCAGCGACTGGGGCATTCGGTGGGAGCTCCTATGGGGCCACGACACGTGTGAGAGGCCCTGTGCCAGAATGGGGGTGGTGGAACCGCATATGCGGGCGCAGCCACCTGGGGCCTCGGGGTGGGAGATCCCTATGAGGGCCACGAAACGTGTGAGGGGTGTGCAAGAATGGCGTGTGGAACCGGGAGGAGGGGGAGGAAGGGGAGGACGGAGGAAGGAGGAGGAAGGAGGAACGCGGGGCGACGTCTCTTCAAAACGAGGACCCAACACCACAGGATGGTTGGGAAAAATGCCAGCTTCGGAGTCCAAGGCCCTTGCGTCCTTACCGCCCGTCCTCACTGTAGATCTCGACTATAGAGGGAGAGGCGTCACTGCTCGTCCTCAGGCAGGCCGTGGGGGAGGGCGCGTCGCCAGCGGCGCGAGAGGCTCCTCTTTCTCCAATTGGGGCACTCGAGAAAAGGCCTCGCCTTCGAGGGTCGCAGGCGTTGCCATCTCTTGCTCGGCGGACGGGCGGCGGAAGGGCGGCGGAAGCCCGCGGAAGCAAAGCGGGGCCGCCTCCGCCGACGGAAGTTGGCGGCAGGCCGGCGGAAGTAAAGATCGGCCTCACTGGAGATGGCAAGTCTTCTTGGTCCAGGGTTTCCAGGACCCGCAAATTGCTCAACATGAATGCTGCTCTACTCTCTCCCCCGACTACGTCCTGGAAGCATCCCGCCCTCTTGTTGTTGTTTTACATCGGATTCAGAGTTCTTGGTGTTAGATATGTATATCGGATGTCTCAATCGGATAGTTCTCGGTTTCCAAATAGTGTTCCCGCTGCAGCGTGGGCCTCATTTGAGGATCGGCGTGTTGCTCCCGTCGTTCAGACCGCGGCCCAGCGCGCGCCACTTCTCTTGATCCGAGTCCTTCCTCCTCGTTTTCGCCCCGCTCCTTTCCTCTTCCACGCCTTCCCCTTATCATCCTGCTCCTCCAGCTCCCACTCCTGCTCCTGCTCCTGCTGTTCCTCCTCGTCCTCCTCCTTCCTCCTCCTTCTTTATGAACAACTCTTCCTTATCGCACCCTGAGACATGTCAGTAGGGCGGGCTGGGCGTTTCGCTCGAGACTTCCGCATCGCTTATGTTCATTAAACTTCAGATCCTCAGAAACTTCACGGAAGGATGGCGGGTGGTTTTCAAAATGTGGTTATCGCTTTATCGATGCGCACAAGTCTGTTGGCAAATTGCAAGAGCTTCACGGATGGAGGGCGTTTCTTGTTCAATGTGTTGTTCTTGCCTTAGTGCCGCACACATTCGTCTTGAGAGCTTACAGCATGCTCAAATATTATTATGGCTGACGTCCCAGACATGGTGTTTCGGCACGATGTAGGACTGTCAGGAGGGCAACAGTCACGTTGATTCGCGGTGTTGAAGTCCCATGGATGTTTTTGCTGGCGCGATTCAGGATCGTCAGGACGCAGCGGCAACGTTGATTCGCGGCGCTGAAGTCCCAGGAACTGTGTTCTTGCACGGTTCATGATGTTCAAACGGTTGTCTCCAACGTGGCACTTCCTTCAGTGAAAATGCACTCATATAGGGACATGAATCGAGAATGTGGGTGGGAGGGTTCATTGCAACAACGTTGATGAGTCTTGGGTTTGCACTGGTCCTCCTCCTCCCACTTCTCATGCTCGTCATCCTGCTCATCCGCAACCTCCTCCTCCTCCTCCTCCTCCTCCTCCTCCTCCTCATCATCATCATCATCATCATCATCATCATCATCATTCAATGTAGTGGACCTTAGGGGGTCCAGGTCCGCTGTGAGAGTCGGTGAACGGAGAAAAACAGCGCAATGGCAAGGGATGTGTGGGAGGGATAGGATGTCATATATGGCGCGAGCGCACCTAGCTTGCTTGCTCCCCCTCTCCCCTCTCCCTCCCGCCTTTCCTTTCTCCTCCTCGTCCTCCTCCTTCTCCTCCTCCTCCTCACCGTCCTCATCTTCATCATCATCATCATCATCATCATCAACATCATCATCATCAGCATCATCATCATCATCATCCTGGTCCTCATCGTCATCCACCTCGTCCCGTTCATCCTCCTTCCTCCCCTGTTCCTCCCTAATCCTCCTCCCCCATCCTCGACCTCACCCATTATCCTGCTCCTCCTCCGACTTGTCCTTCTCGTCCTCCCCCTCTTCCTCCTCGTCCTCCTCCTCCTCCTCATCCTCCAACTCTTGCGTCACGGTCCTTGGCGAGTCCTATCTTCACGGTAGGGCCTCGAACATTGATTAGGCCTGGGCGGCGCAACCACCGCGTTCATTTTACTTCTCGTCCTCCTCCTCCTCCTTCCGTGGCCATTTCGGCTCAAGCGGCCACCAAGGTGGCAGATTTCACGAGCGCTATGCGAAAGTGAAAATATTGAACGGCTGTGCGATGACGAGCTCGGAAGGGGCGGCTGTGCACGTGGGAAAGAGTTCGCTGCATGACCGTCGTGCGATCAGCACAGCTTCGCGGCGCGCACCGATTCCTGCAGGCGGCAAGGCCGGGGGCCGAAGTGGCTCCTGAGTCGCCATGCCCCCCGACGCGAGAAAGAGACAGCGGTCCGACCAGGCTGGCGAGCACACTGTCGTAGGGATCTTCTCGTTCGCGCTCGAGTCCAACGCATTCAACCCAGAGCCGCGGCGGCTGTCCAGCTTCCAGTTCCTCGAGGGCAAAGAGTATGAGAAGGACGAGCGCCAGTCTGGTTTCGTACGGCGGCTGCGGGCGGCCGAGCCGGAGCTGTTCGGCGGCGTGGTCGTGCGCTTCGGCGTGCTCTACCGCGGCTGGTGCGGCGGCGTCGTGCCCGCGGAGGACTTCGCCCGGATGAAGGCGACGGCGGTGGAGCAGTGCCGCAGCATGCTGGCCAGCGGCGAGGAGCTCGCCGGCCTCTACTTCGACCTGCACGGCGCCATGGGCGCCGAGGGCTGCGACGACGCGGAGGCCGAGCTCGTGGAGGCGGTGCGCGGCGCGGCCCCCCGCGCGCGCCTGGCCTCGGCCTCCTTCGACCTGCACGCCAACGTCTCGGAGCGGCTGTGCGCCGCCATCGACCTCGCCGCCGCGTACAAAACTTTCCCGCACGCCGACATGGAGGAGACCAAGACGAAGGCGCTGCGGATGCTGCTGGTGTGCCTTCGGGGGGTCATCGAGCCCAGGGTCGTCGTCGTCACCATTCCAGCCATCCTGGAGGGCGAGAAGGTCCTGACGACGGAGGGCCACGGCCAGGAGCTCTACCGGTGGCTGCGCGACCTCGAGCCGAGCGCCTGGCGGACGCCCGAGCTCGTCGAGCTGCTCGGCCCAGTCGACGAGCGCGTGCGGCCCGTCCGCGGTCTGCTCGACGCGTCTTTCTTCGTCGGCCACGGGTGCGCGGACGAGTCGCGCGTCGGCGCGGCGGTCGTTCTCAGCGGCGAGGCCTCGGCCGTGGCCACGCTGCGCGAGCTCGCGCGCACCATTGCGCAGTGGTACTGGGACCGGCGCAAGCTCTTCGCTCACCCGGCCGGCTGCCCCCTCCTGCAATGGGCCGCCGCCGAGGCCGAGATACTCTCGAGCCTCGCCGCTGGCCGGCGCGTGCTCCTCGGAGACCTCGGCGACAACACCAACGCCGGTGCGTCGGGCGACGTGCCGTTCGTCTGCCGCCGCCTGCTGCGGCTCGCGTCGCACGGCAGCCCGCGCATGCTCGTCGCGGGGCTCGTTGACCGTGCCGCCGTCGAGGCGTGCGCCGCGGTGGTCGCTGAGGGACGGGACGTGCTGCCTGCGGTGCGCGTCGGCGCCGGCCACGCGCTCGGCGCGAGGTACGGCGTCGACTGTGGCCCGCTCGAACTCCGAGGCGCGAGGGTGCGCGGCCTCGTCAACGGCGGCGCGTGGGCGGTGCTCGAGGCGTCGCCCGCGCTCACCATCGTGCTGCAGCGCTCGGCGTGGGCCTTCCTCGGGCACGCCGACGTCGAGCGGCTGACGGACCGCTTCCACCCGGCGTCCTACGACGTGGTGGTCGTCAAGGGCTCTGTCGTCGGGCCACTGGCCGAGCACCTGCGGGCACCGGGCGAGAGCCCGCAGCGCACTGCCTGCGTCATGGCGCTCACGCCTGGCGCGGCCGCGAGCCCGCAGCCGCCGAGGCCACGCCTGCGGCCAGGCACCTACCCAGAGGATGAGGACTCCACCTGGACTGCGCCGGCAGGGAGCTGCGCGCAGCCCTGGCGAAGCCGTCGATGACCTCCCCATGCAGGAGAGGTACCCTGCCAGTTCCGTGGTCCACCCCAGCGAGGCTGCAGACAACCTGGCTTAGCGGACCTTGACGTCTGCGTTGCCACTGTCATCCAGAAGTCTGGCGCCGTTGACAACTCAGTTCAGCGCGGCTGTAACAGTTTGTGGTCGCACGGGCCCAGCCGAGACCGAAGCACTGCCGTCGGGCCATTTGCGCACGCGCCGGGCCCCTGCAGTGTCTTTGCATCCGCATCATTGGGCGCTACTGTGTGCTCCGCAACTGTCGATGTTGATTGACCCTGGCGGGGCGCGGCTCAGAATAGATGTGTGCGATGTTTCCCTTGCGTGACGTTTGCATCGCCGGTTTGGTGACCCTGAATTTGCAGTGGGCGATACAGTTGGATACTGGTTGGCACGCACGTACGGCGGGTTAGGAGTCCATCTCGCACAGTTGCATGTCTTACCTTATCGTGGGGAGGGGAGGCGTGACGCTGATCCCCTCTCCTTCTCCTGCGTCTCTCGAAAGTCGAACCCTGGAATTGTTCTGGGGTCCGCTCCGACCAGAATTTCGAGGCGGATGCAGCCCTGGCTGGAAGCCTCCCGGATAGCCTAAAAGCACAAACAAATTCCGTAGATGTCGATTCTCGATGTGCCCCATCTTTTTCCTTCTCTTCATATTTCTCCTCGCTGCCGTCCTGGTCCTTCATAATCATCCTCTTGCCTTCCCCGCGCAGCTGGGAAGTGCAACGCCTGAAGCAGAACAGGATCGAGGGTTGAGAATCGAGGTTTGGCACGCTTGGCCTTTTTCAGGCCTCCTGAGGCTTCCAGGGACCTCAAGAGGCCTTCGGAGAGCTTTCGAAGCCTCCAAACTCTTATGGAGCGGGTACGGAAAAAAACATCTACGATGCCGAACGCCGGATGCCGTCCAAAACCAACAGCGGCCGTTGGTGGGAGGGCGACTAGTCTCAAACGGACAACGCCCGCGGCGATGCCGACAGCGAGTCCTGTTCAAAGTAGACAGGAACTATTGTCGGTCGTCGTCTCCATTCTTCTGTGCAGCCCAACTGGGGGTCCAGGTGAAAGGGTGTGGTGGCAAAAAGTTCGGTTGAACTGAAATACCTAACGGGTCCGTGCGAAAGTGATTGAGCCTTTTCTGCCGTTCGTTGCAACGCATGCTTGCAAACGGCCTCGGGGTATAAAACGATTGAGGCAGATGGCAGACAGACGTCTCGAAACGTCTTCGAAGACCTCGGCGGTCCATCGGCGACAGTAGTCGCATCAAGAGTTGGCGCGCTTGGCGTGGAGCGCCTTGCTCGGCACAATGCGCGTTGCAGTTGTAACGCGCGCGGACGATGAATTGCAATGTATTGCGCTCGAGATGGATTGCACCGTATTGCGATAAACGCACTGCACGCAAACATCGAGCAATACATTCGCATCCCTGGACATATTGCACGCCCCAAATATGTTGCAGCACTCCGGGATATATTGCAATGGATTGCAGTTGGCGGGTTGCATTGCTCTTCTGCGCTGGCCGATTGCGGCGTGACTGTCCAGACCCGACCTGATCACCTACGGAGCTTGCGAGCAGGGGACGTGGGGTGCCTGAGAGCGTTTTCCGATTCCGACTGGGGAATTGGAAGCACGCTCGCAACGAATTGGCGGGACTCAGTATTTTTTGAATTCGCAACGAAGTTCCAAGACTTTGCAGTCCAAATTCGTGGTGCGAATCATTTGTAACAGCCACAGTACGCGAATGCGCCGTTGAAGCGAACCAGATCCAAGTTCCAAAAGCACTGCCCCCCTTGGGGTCCCACCAATCGGGGGAGTAACCAATTTTTTTTCCGCGGCACCCGCCGCGCAACAACGACTCCTCCTTCTCCTCCACTTCCTCCCCCTCCTCCCACTCCTCCTCCTCCTCCTCCTCCTTCTCCTCCTCCTCCTCCATCTTGTTACCTGGACCCCCCTTGGGGCTGCCTGAAAACTTCCTCCGGGCCCATATCCCGCCGGTCTGCACGCCGCTTCCGTTGCCGCTCTCTCTATGCCCCGAGGTGCCCATTGCCGCCGCAGTCGTCTTCTTCCCCCGACTGCCCCCCCGTCAGTTCAGTGTCGTTTAACCGCCCCCTTGATCCACATCCCCATCCCCATCCTTCGGCAGCAAATCATGGGAGCCTGGTATACCCTCTGAAATCCGTCTTGAGCGTCGATGAACGTCGACTAGCGTCGGCTAGCGTCGATTGGCGTCGATGTAGCGTCGATTAGCGTCGATTTAGCGTCGACCAGCGTCGATTCGCAAGAGCCGACAAGACGGTACGGAGGCTCCCAAGAGTTGCCACCGAACCATTCCGAGCCCGACGATCTCAGCACCCCAGTTGGGGATATACCCCTCGAGACCCGAAGGAAACAGCCTATGTCCCCGCCTAGGGGGGATTCATCGACCAGTGGGGCCGAGGCCACGCCCATGGGGTTGGGGTCGGTTGAACAAGGCTCAGTCAGTATCCCTCCCACACTCTCTCTACCTCTCTCTCCTGCTCCTCCCAATCCTCCTCCTCCTCCTCCTCCTCCTCCTCCTCCTCCTCCTCCTCCTCCTCCTCCTCCTCCTCCTCCTCCACACTCCACACTCCACACTCCACACTCCACACTCCACCCTCCTGGCGCGCTGGGCTGCTCGAGGCCAGCATAGAGACGCTGGCCGACTACGGGGCCGTGGCGGAAGGCTACGCGGCTGGAAACGCCAACCACGACGTGTCGCAGAATGTCAACGCTCTGATGCGAGCTTAGCGTGCGGCGGCCGCCTCCTGGTCCCGTCGACTGCCGCCGCCGCCTCCTCCTTCTCATCCTCCTCCTGCTCCTCACCACCACCACCACCACCCGTGATACCTGGACACCCCTCCTCCTCTTCCTCTTCTTCCTCCTTGTCCTCCTCCTCGTTCTCCTCCTCCTTCTCCTCCTCCTCCTCCTCCTCCTCCTCCTCCTCCTCCTCCTCGTCCTCCTCCTCCTTATCCTTATCCTCATCCTCCTCCTCCTCCTCCTCCTCCTCCTCCTCCTCCTCCTCCTCCACATTGTACTCCCTGCTGGCCCCCGGCGAGGATGAGGTGGCTGGTGAGGAGGGGGACACAGGGGGCAGCTTGACCCTGCTCCGATCGGGGGCAACCCGGTCGAGCTGGTCGGCTTCCATAAAATATGTGCCGATAGGGCGGGGGGAAGAGCGCGAGAGAGAGAGAGAGGAAACAAACAAAACGTGCGTGTGAGAGCAAGGGCACTTGTCGAGTCCTGCAGGGGCAGTTTGCGATTGGCCCCCATCAAGGGGGAGAGAGAGAGAGAGACAGAGAGAGAGAGACGGCGACAGACAGAGGTAGAAAAGAAAGAGAGAGACAGAGAGAGGGAGGGAGGGAGAAAAAGGGGGGGAGAAAGAAAGAGAGAGAGATGAGAGGGGACGCGGCGTGAGGCCAAGGGTGAGGGTGCGGGAGATCATGACGGTGGCGACGATGATGACGATGGTATCATCGCCGTCGCGTTCGTCCGAGAGCGCGTGCGGGCAGACAACATACGTCTCGGCAAGGCCTGCGGAGGACGCCCGCCACCAGCGGCGCCTCGCGCTCGGGCTCGGGCGGGACCTGCCCGCTGGCTGCGACCGGCCCAGCAGGTAACGGGCCCAGACCCCCTCTTTATGATCTTCAGGACGTGTGTTAGCCCAATGTGTGTTTACCCCTCTCAGCCCAACCAGTAGATCATTATATCGCCTGCGTCGTATCGAAGGGCGTCGATGGACAAACACACGTTGGGGCTAACAAACGTTCTGAGGATCATCGACCCTCGCGCGGGGAAAAGTTTATTTACGGCGGGAGGTTTTCGCCACTGTCAGCTTCTGGGGGCCTTCGCCAAGCCCTGGGACCATCAAAAAACGGCTCGGGATGAAAAACCGGTCCCGGAGAATGGATCGAGACTTTCGGGGGTCCATGCTGCAAAAAAAAACATGATGTCAGCGGTCTGGGAGCGCAAGTAACGGGGGCCAGCCAAACCCCTCTTGATCCCGTTGGTTGACCCAGGCTTGGGACCCGAGATGGGGCCGACCACCCCCCCCCCATCCCTCATCCCTTCGCTGACCTGGACCTGGGATCTGTTGCGCGGCCGGCCCAGATTCGGGACATGGCCGCGGACGATCCGAGCCAGCGCCCACCCAGGCCGGCCCGTCCCCGATCCACCCAGGAGGCGTACGGTAGGTTCGTGCCGTGTCGACGCGCCGGCGACCCCGCCGCGAGCATTCAAGATTGAACTCCGCCAGCGGCCCCGAACTGGCCAAAATGGAGCGACCTGGCCATCGAAAAGCCGCGCTCGTTAAGGGCTAAACGATCCACGCGGTGCCAGAAGCCGACGCCAGGGTTGTCACGACACGAAGTTGCCGTACTCTGTTGCTGCTGAGCCTCCGTGCCGCTGAGGTTGCGAGCGCTGGAGGCCGAGCGCCTCCTGCCGTCGTCGTCGTCGTCTTCGTCGTCGTCGCCGCCGCCGCCGACGTCTGTCGTCTGTCGTCTGTCGTCTGTTGTCGTCGTCGTCGTCGTCGTCGTCCCTCGTCGTCGTCGTCGTCCGTCGTCGTCGTCGTCGTCGTCCGTCGTCCGTCGTCGTCGTCGTCGTCGTCGTCGTCGTCCGCCGCCGCTGCCCTCGTGCACGCTGTTGTTCCTGGCCAGCCTCGCCCACGACCCAGGCCCCCCAGCACGTCGTGGAAGCATCACGAGACGGGAGGCTTTCGGCTTCTGGGGGACCTCGCGACCGTCCTCCTCCTCCTCTTCCGCCTTTTCCTCCTCCTCCTCCTCCTCCTCCTCCTCCTCCTCCTCCTCCTCCTCCTCTTCCTTCTCTCCCTACGCTCGTCTCCTCCTCCTCTTCCTCCTCATCAGCATCATCCTTCTCCTCCTCCCCCTCCTCCTCCTCCTCTTTCTTCCGAGCGCCGACTGATCCTCCTCCTCCTCCTCCTCCTCCTCCTCCTCCTCCGCCTCCTCCTCCTGGGACGACGGCTCGGGATAAGAAGAGCCAGTCCCAGAGAAGGGGTCGAGGCCTTCGGGAGTCCGCTTCCTCAAGTGTGGGACGGAGCGAGTCCGCAGCGGTGTAGGTAGGCCCAAAGGCGCTCCGCCAGAGCGAGGCTGGTCCCGGGTTCGGCGACGCCCTGGGGGCCAGAATGAGCGCGTTGGAGAACACCATGTTCACATGAGCGACGCAAAAAAACGGGGCCGTCTGCGCCGACATCGGCGCGTAAGGTCGCGCATAAGCGCCCTCGTCTTCAATGTGGCGTGCCGTGCTGGTGACCCACGTAAGCCGCCGCATCAGGTCGCGATGCCATCTCGCGTAAGACCCATTTTTGATCGTCGTTCACACCTCGCACGTCTCTCTTCGGGACTGTGTCGAGGCCTTTGGGAGACCACGCCCCGAGAAGCCGCTGCCTCGGAGGCTTGGGGAAAGGCAGGCCGCGGGCGGCCGCCTTGGCTCTGGCGCCCAGAGCAGGGCGCCCCAGGGAGGGCCTCGCCCTCGAGAGGCCGAGGG